CTGACGGTACTTCAGCTTCTTCACACGACAATGTTCGACTGTACTGACGGTTCTTCAGCTTCTTCATCACAATATTCGTCTGTACTGACGATACTTTAGCTTCTTAACACGACAATATTCGTCTGTACTGTACTGACGGTATATCAGCTTCTTCACACGACAATGTTCGGCTGTACTGACGGCACTTCAGCTTCTTCACATGACAATGTTCGGCTGTACTGATGGTACTTCAGCTTCTTCACACGACAATGTTCGGCTGTACTGACGGTACTTCAGCTTCTTCACATGACAATGTTCGGCTGTACTGATGGTACTTCAGCTTCTTCACACGACAGTGTTCGGCTCTACTGACGGTACTTCAGCTTCTTCACACGACAATGTTCGGCTGTACTGACGGCACTTCAGCTTCTTCACATGACAATGTTCGGCTGTACTGACGGTACTTCAGCTTCTTCACACGACAATGTTCGGCTGTCCTGACGGTTCTTCAGCTTCTTCATCACAATATTCGTCTGTACTGACGATACTTTAGCTTCTTAACACGACAATATTCGTCTGTACTGACGGCACTTCAGCTTCTTCACATGACAATGTTCAGCTGTACTGGCGGTACTTCAGCTTCTTCACACGACAGTGTTCGGCTGTACTGACGGTACTTCAGCTTCTTCACGACAATGTTCGACTGTACTGACGGTTCTTCAGCTTCTTCATCACAATATTCGTCTGTACTGACGATACTTTAGCTTCTTAACACGACAATATTCGTCTGTACTGTACTGACGGTATTTCAGCTTCTTCACACGACAATGTTCGGCTGTACTGACGGCACTTCAGCTTCTTCACATGACAATGTTCGGCTGTACTGATGGTACTTTAGCTTCTTCACACGACAATGTTCGGCTGTACTGTACTGACGGTATTTCAGCTTCTTCACACGACAATGTTCGGCTGTACTGACGGCACTTCAGCTTCTTCACATGACAATGTTCGGCTGTACTGATGGTACTTTAGCTTCTTCACACGACAATGTTTGGCTGTACTGACGGCACTTCAGCTTCTTCACATGACAATGTTCGGCTGTACTGATGGTACTTTAGCTTCTTCACACGACAATGTTCGGCTGTACTGACGGTACTTCAGCTTCTTCACACGACAATGTTCGGCTGTACTGACGGCACTTCAGCTTCTTCACACGACAGTGTTCGGCTCTACTGACGGTACTTCAGCTTCTTCACACGACAATGTTCGGCTGTACTGACGGTACTTCAGCTTCTTCACACGACAATGTTCGGCTGTACTGACGGTTCTTCAGCTTCTGCATCACAATATTCGTCTGTACTGACGATACTTTAGCTTCTTAACACGACAATATTCGTCTGTACTGTACTGACGGTATTTCAGCTTCTTCACACGACAATGTTCGGCTCTACTGACGGCACTTCAGCTTCTTCACATGACAATGTTCGGCTGTACTGATGGTACTTCAGCTTCTTCACACGACAATGTTCAGCTGTACTGACGGAACTTCAGCTTCTTCACATGACAATGTTCGGCTGTACTGATGGTACTTCAGCTTCTTCACACGACAATGTTCAGCTGTACTGACGGTACTTCAGCTTCTTCACAGGACAATGTTCAGCTGTACTGACGGTACTTCAGCTTCTTCACAGGACAATGTTCAGCTGTACTGACGGTACTTCAGCTTCTTCACACGACAATGTTCGGCTCTACTGACGGCACTGCAGCTTCTTCACACGACAATGTTCGGCTGTACTGATGGTACTTCAGCTTCTTCACACGACAATGTTCGGCTGTACTGACGGCACTTCAGCTTCTTCACATGACAATGTTCGGCTGTATTGACGGTACTTCAGCTTCTTCACAGGACAATGTTCGGCTGTACTGACGGCACTTCAGCTTCTTCACATGACAATGTTCGGCTGTACTGATGGTACTTCAGCTTCTTCACACGACAATGTTCAGCTGTACTGACGGAACTTCAGCTTCTTCACATGACAATGTTCGACTGTACTGACGGTACTTCAGCTTCTTCACGACAATGTTCAGCTGTACTGACGGTACTTTAGCTTCTTCACACGACAATGTTCGGCTGTCCTGGCGGTACTTCAGCTTCTTCACACGACAATGTTCTGCTGTCCTGGCGGTACTTCAGCTTCTTCACACGACAATGTTCGTTTGTACTGACGGTACTTCAGCTTCTTCACACGACAATGTTCGTCTGTACTGACGGTACTTCAGCTTCTTCACACGACAATATTCGGCTGTACTGACGGTACTTTAGCTTCTTCACACGACAATGTTCGGCTGTCCTGGCGGTACTTCAGCTTCTTCAAACGACAATGTTCTGCTGTCCTGACGGTACTTCAGCTTCTTCACACGACAATGTTCGGCTCTACTGACGGTACTTCAGCTTCTTCACACGACAATGTTCGGCTGTACTGACGGAACTTCAGCTCCTTCATCACAATGTTCAGCCGTACTGACGGTACTTCAGCTTCTTCAGAGGACAATGTTCGGCTGTACTGACGGTACTTCAGTTTCTTCAGAGGACAATGTTCGGCTGTACTGACAGTACTTCAGCTTCTTCATCACAATGTTCGGCTGTACTGACGGTACTTCAACTTCTTCACACGACAATGTTCGGCTGTACTGACGGAACTTCAGCTTCTTCACACGACAGTGTTCGTTTGTACTGACGGTACTTCAGCTTCTTCACACGACAATGTTCGTCTGTACTGACGGTACTTCAGCTTCTTCACACGACAATATTCGGCTGTACTGACGGAATTTCAGCTTCTTCACACGACAATGTTCGGCTGTATTGACGGTACTTCAGCTTCTTCACACGACAATGTTCGGCTGTACTGACGGAACTTCAGCTTCTTCACACGACAATGTTCGGCTCTACTGACGGTACTTCAGCTTCTTCACACGACAATGTTTGGCTGTACTGACGGAACTTCAGCTTCTTCACACGACAATGTTCGGCTGTACTGACGGAACTTCAGCTCCTTCATCACAATGTTCAGCCGTACTGACGGTACTTCAGCTTCTTCAGAGGACAATGTTCGGCTGTACTGACGGTACTTCAGTTTCTTCAGAGGACAATGTTCGGCTGTACTGACAGTACTTCAGCTTCTTCATCACAATGTTCGATTGTACTGACGGTACTTCAACTTCTTCACACGACAATGTTCGGCTGTACTGACGGAACTTCAGCTTCTTCACACGACAGTGTTCGGCTGTACTGACGGTACTTCAGCTATATGAAATATGTTAATGGTGTACGAGCCTCTTAATGAACATTATCCTCAAGATGAGATTTCCATCGCCTTATGTTACTGTTACCTATAAGGTCAAGCTCAGGGGAGCACTTTTGATGAAACGTGGGCTTAACCGTCAACGTTTGTCAGTCTGACGACAAACTATAAATAAACATGTGGCATGTGTAATGATTGTTCCATTCTTAAACTAATGTGAACACAGTGAATACAGACAATGTGAACTAACACTCCCAGAACTTGAATGTTCTGGCATGTTTGTGGCTGAAATGCAAGATCGAGGTCGTCAGTTTTGTCATCTTGACTTTCTACCTAGCCCCGAATACCAATTTGGAAGAATAATAATCGTAATGCATGCAATATTTATTCAAGAGGGCAAGGAGAAGAGTTTCTGGGATGACCCGTGGTGCTGGGGCCCCGCTCTTGTGGGAGGAGCTGTAGGAGGGGCGGTACTGGGTCCATTTTTTTCTGGGGGCCGGGCTCGCACAAATCGGGTTCACAGCGTCAGGGATTACAGCAGGCTCCCTGGCAGCGGGTGCGATGTCTACAGCTGCGACCACGGGAGCGGGCGTGGGGCTCGTTGGAGTAGGACAGTCTGCAGGTACATTTGGAGTTTCTCCTAGTTAATTAATCACATAATCATTATTCTAAGATGCCTAGCGGTTAGAACAATCGAGAAAAAAATACATTATCAGACAATAAAGGTATATTTTTTTGATGACGTAACAACTGAATGACGTTATCCCGTCACTGCGCCATTCTAGTGTGCCCCCCTCGTAATCGAACCATTTTACATTACGTCACAATGTAAGCGACGTCACGATGCATGTCAGTTGTCATCGCCTCTTACGGCCTCCTACAGTAAACTACACCGTTGCATCCAGTTTCTTGGTTTGCTGTTGCTTCACGCAGCTAACATCACTGGTGGAAACATTACGTTTATTTTTTACGACGGTTAAAATGTGTCATTTCGACTCACAAGTTTTCAGCGACACGGTAACGTTCGTAATGTTTACATTCCCACGATGCAATTGTGGAATGTCGCTTGACTACTCAGCTTCCTCTGGATGTACTGATCTAAACTTACGCTGGTAGTAGAAATGCAACGGTCATATTGCCCCATATGGTTTACGTTAATGACAGATGCAATTAAAATAATTCAGAGAAGATATTTAATCCGAATGTAAACCGTCATCAAACTGTTATCATTTGTTTTGTTCTGGTAACGTTCGTCTTAACGTAGGGGGCAGACACATCAATAGAACAGCGCGCCAGTTAGCCCTGTGCGAGGGTTCTTCATTTAGGTCACCGACACCGTCGTTTGTTTTCTGCCTTAGATTAATCGTAATTATCTTTAGAAAGTATTAAATTTGGCATCTTAGAAAAGAAATACACTTCGCCCTACCACCATGTTTAGTGTAATAAAACAAACTTTCGCCCTGAACTATTATAACGTTAAAGCACTCGGACGCAAGCGTCCTCGTGCTTTAGCTATAATAGTTCAGGGCAAAATGCAAGCGTCCTCGTGCTTTAACTATAATAGTTCAGGGCAAAAGTGTGTTGTATTACACTATACATGGTGGTAGAGCGAAGTGTATTTCTTAAATAGCATTCTTACATTTTTATTCGACCTCGGTAAATCAAATATATGTTGTCAATCGTGATCTTGCATTATGAAATACTTTTGTCTTGTCACAGGGGCTGCTGGTGTAGCTTTAGGAACGAAGACAGCAATGGCCGCAGGCGGGGCAATCGCAGGCTACTTCTCCAGCGGGTGCAAGGAGCCAAATTGTTAAAAAGGAGACGAAAAGAAGTAGATAAGAAACTGACGATGTCAACTGGTTGCAGGTCGCAAATAAACATCCATGTGGCCCAAGATCACAGTTTCTAATACATAGTATATTTCAAACCTTGAATTTGATGTTAAATAGTAAAAACTTGTTTCCTGATGTTTCAAAAACTTTCATTTGATCTACCATGATGTTGAACTATACAAAACAACACATCCAACTGTCCAATCTGCAAGTTAATATTTGATGCAAAATAAGCTTCGATACATAATCGATGTTTTTGGGGCGAACTTCAGCAGTGTATTCTAAATAAAGACGTTGACATTCATACAAGTGTTTTGTAATGTATAATGTGAGTGAGTTTAGTTTGACGCCGCACTCAGCAATATTCCAGCTGTAACATATGTTATATTGGGATTCCCCTTTCTCCGTAAAGTACAGATTCTAGTACTTTTATCGAGTACTTTTACTGAGTCCCATCCAGGATTCGAACCCACACCCTCAGAGTCAGGCATCCAGTCGGCAGCACACAAAGTCAGCCGCCCAACACGCCCAACCACCGCGGCTTCCACCGTGTGGCTGAGCGGTATACATATGTTGTATTTGACCACTTTCTAAATGACATTGTTCTTAATATTCCAGCTATATGACAGCGGTCTGTAAATAATTGAGTTTGGACCAGACAATCCAGTGATCAACAGCATGAGCATCGATCTACGCAATTCGGTTTGCGCAACAGAGAGAAAAATTACCAGTTTTTCTATATGCGAGCGAAGTTAGCAAATGTTGGCAACGTGCTTCCCTCGTTTCGGTTCGAAAAATATTTTTAATATCCAAAATTCCGCTGCCAGATGTATCACCCACACTCCTCGTCATGACCATATCACCCCCAGCACTACAGTCTCTACACTGGCTCCCCATCTCTGCAAGAATTTCTGACTCATGACTGCCTTTCAGTCTAAGTAAACTTAGGCTCAGTATTATTCGTTACACTGCTATACTGAGTCTAACAAAACCTAGTAGAAGGTCGCGTCAGCTAACCTTTCAGCGACCTATGACAGCCCAATCAAACACGAGACTGCTGAACGGATTTACCCAATCCGACTACTTGTTAGGGTTCGGCGGGATTTACAAAACGGTTTTTGGATTTTCTCTTCCCTGATCGCTGACACTGATCTATCAACAAACGAAAATCCGCACAAAACAGAGATATTTGACCTGCAGTATATTCGCTTATGGCATTCGTCACCACTCGCCTCTTTCCGTAACCTCCAAGAAGACGCTATTCGGCTTGTCCCGGAATAACACGAGTTGGTCACGAATGAGGCTTATGGGTTTCTGATGACGTGGTTACTATTTGCTTATATTTTCGCAAGATGACATCCTTGAATATTGACAAACACGCTATTTTCAGCAACTGTTTACTCACTGCGTGTATCACTCGGAAGCGATCGTGCGGAAAAATAGCATTCGGAATCGTTCGAGTTTTTTAGATAAAGGTTCAAATGGTATGTGCGATTGTTAACTTTCGCGATTTGGTAAGCTGTGTTCTGATTGGTCAGTCCTAAAGGTTAGCTAACGCGACCTTCTACTAGGTTTTGTTAGACTCAGTATAGCAGTGTAACGAATAATACTGAGCCGAGGTTTACTTAGACTGGACTGCCTCTACAACAATAACTTTCCCGACTATCTCAAACTACTCGTCTCCGTGTATGTACCCCACGAAATCCCCAGTCCTTCTCTGACTCTCTCCTCACCCAACACTGATCTCCAAACTAACTGTCTGACCCAGCTTTCACCTTTGCCAGCCCTCAACTGTGGAACTCTCCTCCAAAGGAAAACACTTCATCGAAACTTTTCAATCTCAGCTAAATACCCATCAGTTCACTGTTGCCTTTCTGTAATACACATATGAACCATCTCCTTCCTCAATATTGCCACAGCGCCACTGAGCATCTCCACAGTGGGTATTTAGGAATAAAGTATGTTTTACAGATTAAGATGAAAATGCAGAAGAGCGGGTTTGGGTGATCCTGGCACAGTCAGACTGGTAAGGCTCATCACCAGCTCAGGACCCTCGCCCCCTCTACAAGCAGCCCAGACAGCGAATGGGACTTCTCCCAGGAAACACTGCCTAGTAGAACTTTACGGAGAATATGTAGACTACCCAACACTGCAGCCTTCTGCATTACCCAGAGTGTCAGAAGGGCTGTGCTCCCAGCAGCTGGGAGTGTGCATTTAATGTCCAGATCTGATTTATTGTGCAGATACACACTAAACTCCAGACTTCCTATGCTGGCTAGTTCTGTCCAGAGATTGTCGCGGAGTGTCATCGTGAGGTCACAGCCTGTTACTGCATGTACAGCCACATTGTCGTAAAACAGTCCTCACTTACGGCACAGTATATCTGATGGTTGAGTCCCATTTCGCCTACATCCCTTTTTGCCTACAGAAAACAGGTAGGCGAATAGGGAATAGACATTGCATCCCTGTTGAGAGAATGGCCTTGACTTGGAATTAAGGAAGGTCAGTTTCACAATGTGTGAGTAAAAAGATAAGTACATCTGATGTCGAGCTCCTCACAGAGGCACACGACCCGTGAAGGTTCCGGTTAGAATATTGGCCTTCAGTAACCCATGCTTGTCGTAAGAGGCGACTAACGGGATCGGATGGTCAGGCTCGCTGACTGGGTTGACACATGTCATCGGTTCCCAGTTGTGCAGATCGATGTTCATACTGTTGATCACTGGATTGTCTGGTCAGGAGTCGATTATTTACTGACCGCCGCCATATAGCTGGAAAATTGCTGAGTGCGGCGTAAAACTCACTCACTCACTCACAGAGACACACAGTAGAACATGGAAGTGTGCACTGTAATATGGGGGTACAGCTTACACAGCTTCCATGCGGAGTGCGTCTCTATTCTTGGGTGAATCTGTCTGAATATGTCGAAGTCTCTTTTGTTTGCTATTCCATCAGAGGCCATGTTCGATTTACGTCTCTCTGCAAACTTGATTAGTGCAATGTATGAAACTCCAAAAATTTCAGCCCGACCACAGGGTTGGTTAGTTGTAAAACTTGCCAGCCCTGACCAAAACTTACCTGCCCACAAAATGTCTTCATAGACATGTCTAAATTTTAACCCGACCGTCGGGCAGGTGAATTTGAGAATCTGGCAGTACGTGGTGAAAATAACCCGTCCCGGATGGTCGGACAAGCAGCTATTTCGAACGCTGATTAGTGTCAGGTGGATAAAATCATTGTGCTACACGTAGCAGTTGTGTGGGTCACGAGCTATTTAGTCACTGATAACGACACATCATGGGTATTACTGTTGACAACCATACAGAAGCTGAGCGCTTCACAGCACACGCAGAAGAGAAGTGGTAGACATAAGACTGTTCGGGTAAGTCATTCATTCCTGCCCTTCTGGTTTTTCTTAGTTATTTTACTGGGCGTTCGAACAGCATTTGCCCTATACCCGACCGTGACGCCCCTCTACACATCTAACACAGTGAGGCAGGCTGTGCTTTGCACGGCTGAGATTTATTTCTGCAATTGTAATAGGGCTTCAATGAATTCTCTTTGACTCGAGTACTCGAGGGGTCAGACTCGACTCGGACCCGAGTGGTTGTATCCCATTAGTCATACGCCCATTTCTCATACGGCCACTAGTCATACGGAACGGAGCGGATTAGGGGCGTGCTCCCTACGATACAATAGACTCGTGCGCTTTTCTTGTGCGAGATACAAGGTGATACAAACATAATTCAATACGTCTACTCCGCATACCGATTGTTTTGAATATGTTCTTAGAAAAGGGGGTGGGGGGTGGGGTAGGGTAAATATAATTCCATTTCCGATTTGAATTAATATATCATGCAGATTTAAGGAAATGCTCTAATTTTTTTTTTAAATTTGAGTCTACTGATGTTGTAGATTGTTTAAGAATAACTACATATATATTGACCTAAGATGGAAGAATCGTCACTAGATATTCCAATATGTATGTACATTAAATAATATCAGTTTTGGATTTTTTGTCTTTTCAAAATGACGTTACAAATTTCGTAACGGTAGTGACGCAATTTCCTGACATTTCTAATAAAAAGGGTTAAATATGATAAATGAAATGTCTATTAGGTAGCATACTTTATGTTTTGCATAGTCAGAATACTACAAACGTAATCAACAACATTTCAAAGTGAAACAAGCAAACAAAACATGCCTACATGAAATATGCACAAATTTGGAGACTGACTCAAATAAACTCGTGCTAAATTCATTTTGTTTCGTTTCATGAATATGGGATATTCAATTTACCTACAGAGGTACTACGGGTTCATATATACGAGCAATCAACCATGTTTATTAAGACGCATGACTAATGGTCTGACAACACCCGAGCACTGGAATACATACCTTTCAAGCAAACCAGAGCGTAACTGGCATGACATTACACGATACGATGATTGTTTGATCAAGTTTGGAGTTGGTAACTAAGTAATACACAAAGTTATCTTACTTTTATGTAAAATACTTTAATTTCATTGGTCGCATTAACAAGTTTCCGTGTCACCCCTCCCAGGAGGGTGACAACTGGAAATAATATCACCTGCTACCATGGTAACCGCCAAACTCACCCGCTTGATTAAGCATATTGCTTGATTTATTTTCATGGTCGACTAGATAGTTACCTAATCATTTTAAGAAGTGAAGTCTCAAACAATGTATGATATCAGACGTGGAAGGAGAATTCTAGACAATTGCAATTTTTGCTGAGTGAAACATTAAGTCATCAGAAACAGGTACCCCAATTTTTAATTAACAGATATGGTTATATATAGTACAACCAGAAATTATTGAGAATTTAAGATTGTATTTTATTATTTTTTTCACTCATTACTCACGTATTTAATGTGAATATTAGCAGAACATAACTCCAGATTCAAAGACAGGTGAACAGTTAGTATTTTGTCAAGCCACCATGGGCAGCAATGCAGGCTTCAATGCGGCGGGGCATACTACTGATCAAAGAAGTTAGAAAGTCGTGGTCCATGCTGTCCCAATATCGGACCACCTCTTCTTTCATTTCAGCAATATTTGTCAGATTTTTCTTATTGACACTTTCCTATTAGGAAACAGCCACACAGAACTTTCATCTGAGAAAATCACATTGTCCCAGTTAAAATTTCTATGCTGTAAGCACCAGTTCAACTTTCGCTCCTTTTGTTCAGGTTTCATGATCGATGATGGAATTCCTCGACTTTTCTGCCAACCCATTGCATGCAGCTCAGTTCTAATTGTCTCCTTACAGACAGCCACAGT